GGCTCTGTAGGGTCTATGGTGGGCTCTGTAGGGTCTCAGGGGGGCTGTGCAGGATCTGTGGTGGGCTCTGGGTCTATGGTGGGCTCAGCAGGATCTGTTGTGGGCCCACCATAGAACCATGGTACCACAGATCCTGCAGAGCCCCCCGACACCCTGCAGAGCCCCCCGACACCCTGCAGAGCCCACCACGGATCCTGCACAGCCCCCCCCCGAGACCCTGCAGAGCCCACCACAGATCCTGCACAGCCCCAGGGGGGTTGTGCAGGGTCTGTGGTGGAGTCTCAGGGTGGCTTTGCAGGATCTGTGTCGGGCTCTGGGTCTATGGTGGGCTCAGCAGGATCTGTTGTGGGCCCACCATAGAACCATGGTACCATGGCCCTTCACAGCTCACCATAGACCCCACAGAGCCCACCATAGATCCTGCACCAATTTAGTGGGGTAGGGGCCTCGGCTCTGGCCTCGTGCAAACACTCCCACACGTGTAGTACTGCGCACACAGGGCCTCATGGCTTCCACCTCCTCTGCGGTATTCAGCGTTCCCGTAGGGAGAAAGGCCACCATGAACGGCACCCTGTGTCGGGCATAGCCCCTTTGCACACCTACCCTCCTCAGGGTGGTTACAGCCACGATACAGTTCAACATCACACTCCGGTAGAACCCCACCTTCTCAGAGGTTGGAGGGAGAAGAACCAGTCCACACAGATAGTCTTTTCTTGATTTTACTTGAAAGAATGAACATGGTATGAAGCATACATTTCAGCCACCCCCGAGTGGGATGACGGCACAGTTCTTGTTAGTTGCATGGTGATACAGATTAGAGAGAGAGAAGAACAGCCCAGGTGCAGCCCAAAGTCTACGATTTACTTCGGCCAGAGGCCCACTGGCAAATATCGTCAATCTTATAGCTTCTCACTATTCTCCGGAATCCCATCCTTGTCAGTCCTGGCTCAGTGATTTCCCCCTCCAGGGGAAACTAGGGAATCTCTATAGCTCTACATAGTCCTAGGCCTGGTCCTGTCCTTCCCATGGACCAGCCTATGTTTTAGAATCAGTCTCCCTCCAGAGACTCTGCATACAGTCTTAGACTTCTGCTCTCCTGTACTCTCTCTTGAACTGAACTGAACTCCTCTTTTCCCCTCTCGGGCGCCCCCTACACAGAGTCTCCCCAGGCCAGAGCTGCATCTATCTCCAGGGCCCCATGGGGGCATCTAGTGGCCATTGGCCGTACTGCACCTACCTACAGGTTTCTAAACCCCCTGGTTTTTTTTGCATATATCTACTGCTATCAAGCAGTAGATATATGCAAAAAGTTTAAAAAAAAAAAAAACGCTTTAAAAGCGGTTTAAACTTACCTGTGTATTCGCCGCGCGCTCCCGTCCGAGAATCCGAAACTGCTCGGGCGGCCGCAAAGCATCTTGGGGCGGGCACATGCGCAGTTCGGATTTTCGACCGGGAGATGAGCAGAGATGCAAGGCAAGTCTATGGACAGCGTGCACCCGCATGCAGACACCGCGGGATCGGAAGTGCCTGCAACGACAGAGGAGATAGCGCTGGATCGGAGAACCACAGCACCGCTGGAGGGACAGATGAAAACATCAGGAAAGAAGAGGAAGATCGGATTAAGATACATTATTTAAGGTAAGTGCTGACATTAACATTGGGGGGAGGGAAAACACTGCTAATCTAAATGTAAGATTCCTCGGCCTTACTGTGACTATTAGTGAAATCATTTAGCTAATACTCAATAGGGAGGATGTCAGGCAGATGCTCTTGGGCTGCGTTGAAACTCAGCATTCCTCAGAAATCTCGCTGAAAGAAACTTGCTTGTAATGTGGAAGACACAAATGGTGGGAATCCCTCATAATGGGCACAGCGGGTGTACAGACCCGGGAACTCAGCACAGGGATGGTGGGAACTCCAAACATCTTGTGAGCTTCCTGCGCTCTGTGTCATCAGTTACATTGTTCTCTGAGAACTTCAGCATCTCACCCCTTTGTGAAAAAAAACTAATACAGACACCACATCTGTGGAC